AATGTAAGAATTCAACTTTGTAGTACTCTTGTGAAGGTAAACAGATCACAGCTATTTTACCTGTTGAATTTGTATGTACGTATATATTCATTTATGTATTTATTTAATTTGTATTAAATTTGACCATAAATGCCTAATTAAAAGTTTGCATCTTTTCCATTATTCTTTTTTACATGTTTGCAAGCCTGCAGAATTTACAGCCTTTTAATTTACTTTTATTGAAGTTCATTAAATTTGTTCTTATATTGTACAGATTCAATGTGGTCTTACATATGTCATTGTAATCAGGGCATCAGGTAATATACTTCATCATCTGTTGGTGTCTGATTCACACAATATTCTCTTTCCTCCTTGTCCGTACCCTCTTTGTCTCGTCTCCTCTGATCATTCTGCTCCTTCATCTTCTGCTCCTCTTGGCTTCCAGTGTTGCTGCTCCTTAGTGCTCTCTTTAACTGATTCCAGAACAGTTCTTTTGCACTGTTTGGATCTGAACAGTTTGGCCCAGGCCACTGCAAATAAGTCTTTTTGAGCATGACCTTCCTCATACGGTGATAAGTGGACAGTTGCCGCTCAGGGGTAGGCTCCAGAAAAACCAGCAAAAGCACATCCTGCATTTCTTGAAAGAGACGATAGCTGGCCAACTGGATCTCCAGTGAGCACCATTCACTGCGAAGGAAGCTCTGACTGACCACACAGATCGTTTTGCGACTGCCGTATACGGCAGCCACAATGTTGTCGACAATATCGCGGCCTAACTCGAAATCTCTGTGGTGGAGGCAGAGCCGAAATGAAGAACCCTCAAGGTTTGGCAGCAGCTGTTCCATTACCCAGTCTTCATCTGCTGAGTTGTAGGAAACGAAGGCATCATACTTGTATTTCTCCTCCTGGTCCCTTAAACGGCGCCACTGTTCTCCAAACCATGATCGAAACACATAGTAGCCATACTTAAATTTCCAGTAAAGCCTGACATAGAGAAGTGGTATCAAGCTAAGTAAGATTGTGAATGTAAACGTTGAGGAAAACAGGTAGAGTGCTATGTCTAAATAACACACATTAGTGTCGAAGTTGTGAAAAAACGAGCCTGGATGGTCTTGGCATGTAATATTGAAAAGATAAGGAAAC